GTGGGGTATGGGTGCGAACGAAACAAAGCACTGACACCCACACACCCACACCCCACATCCACACCCACATCCACATCCACATCCACACCCACACCCCACACCCATACCCACACCCCAAACCCATACCCACACCCGCACCCCACACCCATACCCACACCCCAAACCCATACCCACACCCATACCCACCCACACCCTGAACCTCCAGTGACAAAAAACAAATACCAAAAGATATTAAACGTGCTATTACAACGTCTTGTGTTGAATTTGTTCCTGAAGATGGTCGAGTATTCCACTTGCTTCAGAGACCTGATTTTGTTCGTTTAGCGAAACAATTATTTGATGGTGGTCAACGTTTATCTTCATCAACAAATATTAGTATTAGAGATTTACTACCAACTTCTTCTACTGTAAGCAACTTTTATTGTATGCGCTAAGATAAATACTTAACTAATACCTATTTATATTAGAGAAGTCGAAATGTTGATAAAATGTATGATTTTTACAAGCAACAATTAATAAAAAATTTTAAATCAATGGATAGTTATTGTGTGATTGTGGATTTCTGGTGTGAACCGTTTACAGGTAGGGCAAGTCTTTCAGATTGCTAAAAGCAGCTCTCTTTTTTCTACTTTTTATTATCAAGGTTTATCATATTGTGGTATATCACTTAGTCATATTGATCCAGAATTTCAATCATATATGTTTTCAATCGGCTGTTTTCCATATAAAATGGAAAATAAACGTGCACCAACTATTCGTATATTTGTTAATGATACATTAAAAGATTTTGGTTTAGTATTGGATCAGGAAAAATTCGTCGTAACCGACAATGAACCACCGATGTTATGCACTGTCAATACAGATTGTAAAAGAATAGGATGTAGTGATCACTACATCAACAAACAGCTTCAACATACATTTACAACAAAAACAATTGATGGAAAATTTGTTAATTGTGATTTAGCTCAAGGACTTTTCAATAATGTTAAAACTCTTGTTTCAAATATTCGTCGAATACACAAGCAGCAAAATCTATCGAAAAAATTGGTTTTGTATTCAGATACACGTTTTAGTGGCGCATATGAAATGCTCAATGTATTTTCAAGCATTTTTGATGAATTAGTACAAATCCTCGATTCTAAACTATCAGCAATTTATTCCAATATTGATAAAGATGTTTTATTCGACGTATGCCGTTTTTTATTTCCATTTCATACAGTACTTCAAGCATTAAGTGATGATAAACGACCGACAATCCATCGTGTATTACCATTCAAACAATATTTGATCAATAAATGTATAATTGATGAAAATGATGATGAAGCTATTAAATAAGTGAAATCCTTCTTGGGTATGAAGTATAAAAAATAATTAACGTAATCTTTTAGTATTTTATTACTTTT